CACATTTTAGTCCTGAAATGATATTTGAAAATTTATGTCTGGCACTTGAGTGGAAGGATCTGTTGGTTCCAGGAGTTTTTACAGACGGACTGTAAAGTTTAATGATTTACTGTTGTTTATATTCTGACAATCACTTTAATTTATTTTAACTTAGAAGTCAGACTGTTACCATCTGTTTGGCAGGTGGCTCTAAATACTACAATACCCATGAGCCTCAGCTGACGTTACTGTGAAGAAGAAGTCCTGAAGTCAACTGGTTACAAAACCGAACTGACCCAGAATTCAAAATACAAACAATATGAACTTTCCTCAACACTCTTCAGTTTGCTGCATAACACTTACAGCATTTGAAGCTCTGTGACTGGATGTTTGTCACTGAAATGCCCCTTGGGAGTCATAGTTGACTTCTCTCTGTTAGTTGTGACATCTTGCACCTTTGATATTTTCATGGACAGTTGTTCATCTTTAGATCTGATGATTCAAACCACAGAGTTTCTTGTTCATGTTGAGACTTGAAGAGAGAAAACTGTCAGTGATCAAATTTTTGAGAGACCACAGACATTTTCTGAGCGGCTTTATCAGTGAGATATGTGCCAGCAGAAAGAAAACAAACCAGAATGACAGAGTTTATCAGTAGATCAACATGTGGAGATGTTTTTGTGTTTTAAAATGTTTATTTTCAGCCTGTTAGCCGCTCAGAGACATGAGCTTTCTGTAGACTGTGGATGTTTTACACTGAAACTGCAGGACACACTGTGTTAAAGGTTGTTTGATGAAGAATTTATCAGACTCTGTGATCAATACTGGTGATTTGATGTTAATAGTTACAGTGGTAAGAACTGATAGAGCTGCTGACTTTGGATGGCAAAGTGTTTTTATCTGTTTAGAGAAAAAAAAAACATCAAAGAGTCTCTGTTCATGATCCTGTGTGGCTGATTGATTAGACTGATTAAATTCTATATTCACATGAGGGAAACGTTTCCTGTTTACATTGCAGTAATGTGATAGAAATGGATAACCTTTGCTCCTCTTGAGCAAATATGATGGAAAAAGTGTGGAAACAAGTCATTAAAAAAGTCCTAAATGGTCAAAATATAGTACTTCATACAAAAAAATATATAAAAACAGTCACAGTATAGAGGAAGATACAAAAAAGTCATAGTATAGCATGTCATAAAAGTGTCATTGAAAAGGTTACGTTGTAGTGTGTTATGAAAAAAAATAATTAAAACGTAATATATCCTTAAAAAATCAAAAGAAAAACTCCTAATATAGTATGTGATGAGAAAGTCATTAAAAAATCATAGTACAATCTGTCAAAATATCACTAAAGAAGTAAAGTAACGTAGGTTATAAAAAAGTCACACAAAAATTCATAGTATAGTATGTCATAAAATGTTTTTCTTCAAAACAATTACTCTGTAGTATGGCAATAAAAATTTCATTTAAAAATGTTGTCACATACTATTTGACCAAAATAGTCATTTAGGAAATCATTGTATATTATGTTACAAAAAATTATTTAAAAAGGTTTACAATATTATGGTACTAAATATTTCAACTAAAAAAGTCATAATATAGAAACTCATTGAAAGGTAAAAAAAAAAAAAAAAAAAGTCAGACTGAAATATTTTCACATATTTCATGGAAAAAAATCTTTAAAACAAGTCATAAAAAATCCTAATGTAGTATGTTATGAAAAAAAAATGTAAAGTAACTTTAAAGTAAAGTAAATTTTCTTAAGAATATAAAGTACAGTACAGAACTCATACTAGTCATAGTACAGTATGACTATGACAGAGTCATAGTACAGTATGGTACCAAAAATGTCATCAAAAGGTTATAGTATAATATGGAATCAAAAATCTCGTCCAAATATCATAGTATTGTATGGTATCAAAATTTCACTAAAAAGTCATAGTATAGTAAGGTATCAAAAATCTCATCAAAATGTCATAATATACTATGGTATCAAAAATTTCATGAAAAAGTCAAAGTATAGTAACGTATCAAAAATCTCATCAAAAAGTCATAGTATAGTAAGGTATCAAAAATCTCATCAAAAAGTCATTGTATAGTAAGGTATCAAAAATCTCATCAAAATGTGATAGTATAGTATGGTACCAAAAAATTCACTAAAAAGTCATAGTATAGTAAGGTACCAAAAATCTCATCAAAATGTGATAGTATAGTAAGGTATCAAAAATCTCATCAAAATGTCATAGTATAATAAGCCATCAGAAATCTCATCACGAAGTCATAGTATAGTAAGGCATCAAAAAATTCACTAAAAAGTCATAGTATAGTATGGTACCAAAAAATTCACTAAAAAGTCATAGTATAGTAAGGCTTCAAAAATCTCATCAAATTGTCTTAGTATAGTATGGTATTAAAAATTTCACTAAAAAGTCATAGTATAGTAAGGTATCACAAAATCTCATCAAAATGTCATAGTATAGTGTGGTATCAAAAATCTCATCAAAATGTCATAGTATAGTATGGTACCAAAAATCTCATCAAAATGTCTTAGGATAGTACGGTATCAAAAATTTCACTGAAAAGTCATAGTATAGTATGGTATCAGAAAATCTCATCAAAAAGTCATAGTATAGTAAGGTACCAAAAATCTCATCAAAATGTCATAGTATAGTATGGTACCAAAAATCTCATCAAAAAGTCATAGTATAGTAAGGTACCAAAAATCTCATCAAAATGTCATAGTATAGTATGGTATCAAAAAATCTCATCAAAATGTCTTAGGATAGTATGGTACCAAAAATCTCATCAAAATGTCATAGTATAGTATGGTCCCAAAAATCTCACCAAAATATCATAGTATAGTAAGGCATCCAAAATCTCATCAAAATGTCATAGTATAGTATGGTATCAAAAATCTCATCAAAATGTCTTAGGATAGTATGGTACCAAAAATCTCATCAAAATGTCATAGTATAGTATGGTACCAAAAATCTCATCAAAATGTCATAGTATAGTATGGTACCAAAAATCTCATCAAAATGTCATAGTATAGTATGGTACCAAAAATCTCATCAAAATGTCATAGTATAGTATGGTACCAAAAATCTCATCAAAATGTCATAGTATAGTATGGTACCAAAAATCTCATCAAAATGTCATAGTATAGTATGGTACCAAAAATCTCATCAAAATGTCATAGTATAGTATGGTACCAAAAATCTCATCAAAATGTCATAGTATAGTATGGTACCAAAAATCTCATCAAAATGTCATAGTATAGTATGGTACCAAAAATCTCATCAAAATGTCATAGTATAGTATGGTACCAAAAATCTCATCAAAATGTCATAGTATAGTATGGTACCAAAAATCTCATCAAAATGTCATAGTATAGTATGGTACCAAAAATCTCATCAAAATGTCATAGTATAGTATGGTACCAAAAATCTCATCAAAATGTCTTAGGATAGTATGGTACCAAAAATCTCATCAAAATGTCATAGTATAGTATGGTACCAAAAATCTCATCAAAATGTCATAGTATAGTATGGTACCAAAAATCTCATCAAAATGTCATAGTATAGTATGGTACCAAAAATCTCATCAAAATGTCATAGTATAGTATGGTACCAAAAATCTCATCAAAATGTCATAGTATAGTATGGTACCAAAAATCTCATCAAAATGTCATAGTATAGTATGGTACCAAAAATCTCATCAAAATGTCTTAGGATAGTATGGTACCAAAAATCTCATCAAAATGTCATAGTATAGTATGGTACCAAAAATCTCATCAAAATGTCATAGTATAGTATGGTACCAAAAATCTCATCAAAATGTCATAGTATAGTATGGTACCAAAAATCTCATCAAAATGTCATAGGATAGTATGGTACCAAAAATCTCATCAAAATGTCATAGTATAGTATGGTACCAAAAATCTCATCAAAATGTCATAGTATAGTATGGTACCAAAAATCTCATCAAAATGTCATAGTATAGTATGGTACCAAAAATCTCATCAAAATGTCATAGTATAGTATGGTACCAAAAATCTCATCAAAATGTCATAGTATAGTATGGTACCAAAAATCTCATCAAAATGTCATAGTATAGTATGGTACCAAAAATCTCATCAAAATGTCATAGTATAGTATGGTACCAAAAATCTCATCAAAATGTCTTAGGATAGTATGGTACCAAAAATCTCATCAAAATGTCATAGTATAGTATGGTACCAAAAATCTCATCAAAATGTCATAGTATAGTATGGTACCAAAAATCTCATCAAAATGTCATAGTATAGTATGGTACCAAAAATCTCATCAAAATGTCTTAGGATAGTATGGTACCAAAAATCTCATCAAAATGTCATAGTATAGTATGGTACCAAAAATTTTGTGAGAAAGTCATCACAAATTAAAGTCATAGTATAGTAAGGTACCAAAAACTTCATTTGAACGTAATAGTATAGTATGTTGGTAAAAATTTCAAATAAAACGCATAGTATGGTATGGTATCAAAAATGTCATCCTAAAGTCATTGTATAGTATAGTATCAAAAATTTCATTAAATAGTCATAGTGTAAGTGTAGTAGTAGTATGTTTTTCTTAATGAAAACATTGGTTGTATAATACGGTATTAAACATTTCATTCAAGAAAAGTCATAGTAAGTCATAAAGTTATAGTATGTCATAGATTTTTTTTTAAATGTCATAGTCAAAAAAATACAGTATGTCATAAAAGAGTCATGAGACAAAATAGTATGTCATGAAAACAATTTTAAAAAGTGATTGTATAGTGTGATGTAAAAAATATTGTTTTTAAAATTATAGTATAGTATGAGACAAAAAGCTCATAGAAAGACCATTAAAAAGGAAAAAAATAGAGCTACAACTAAAACACTGAAATGTTTTCATTTGATCATTGTCTCCACTAAAGTGAAGTCAATTTCTATTTTTTCAGCAGCCCCATTATTATTACCTGTTTGTGTTACATTCAACAAAGAACAGACCAAACTCTTCACCAAAACACTGTACAGTATTTATTTTGTTCATTTATACAAGTCTCATCTTGCAACGTCAATAATCTATAGTTCAAAAAATAGATTTTATAGAGGATTTTCGCCATTACAGATTCATCCAAGCCTTTCTAATTTTTTGCATATTTTAAAGGAGGTTCTGAACCCTTCTGAAAACAGAACTCTTTATGAACCAGTGACTGACATCTGAATCATCAGGAGAGTTTTCAGAGTGGATCAGAACTGTTCTTGGATGTTAATTTCACTTCAGCTACTGTAAAAAGCTTTTAGGACTAATTTTACTGTTAAAAACAAACTATGAGCTACGAGGACATTATTATTCATGTTATTATTATCTAGTGGAGGATTCTGGGAAAGCTTTCCACACTGTAATCCAAATAAACACAAGAACATCAAATCAGAGTAAAAGTCAAAGGAGGCCAAAAATCAAAGGTTGGTGTGTTTTGGAGTCTCTGTGTTTTTTTTGTGTTTGATGAAGGAGGGAAGACGATTGTTCAGCTGGAGGAGGAGAAAGAAATCCTGCCGTCTTCTTCTGTTCATCCTTTAGTTTGGCTTCTTGTCCCCTGGAGAAACAAAGGGAAACATAGGTGGTTAATCCACACCAGTGATCCATCGATCAATACAAACCACTACTCCTATTGACTCATCAGTCCCTCCAGAATCTCCCCAAGGCTGTTTTATTATTATGATTATGATTATTATTGTTGTTTATTTTAATTATTGCCATTCATTTTTGGAAGTTTGATCAGTGTGATACATCAACTGCCTTAGAAGACGATTTCAAGTCTTCTCACCAAAATCACAAGGAAGGAGACTAGAGCTCGATGTTTATGTGACTTTAGGTAATAAAAGCGTTTCTGAATGAGATTGTTTTTATGCAGAAAATTTGGAATTTATATTTTCTGAGCTGTTTGCTGTTTTTTACAGGGAAAGATTTTAAATAACTAAAAATTCTTCCAAAAACTTGAAATCGTTTGTTTGAATTTGTGTCAATTATTATAATCACAATTTTGTCAGTTCCTAGAGGGCCTGAACTGTACATTAATCATCTATCATCTTATTATTATATTATATGTATTATTAAATTGGGATTTGTCATGCTGTTTTTGAACAAAACTTTTTTCCCCCTCAGTGTTGATGTTGTTGAGCTGTATGATGACATCAGGGGGCGTACTGTCCCTTTAAACCACAAACATGCTGATTAAATCGCTTGAAAAACTGAATTTGAGAGCAAAAAAATAAATTAAATAATTACAATTGTTTTAAATTGTGCCTTTTATTTTTAAGCCTCTGCGTGTGATGCAGAATAACCATTGCTTCACCCAGCTTGGTCTTGGCAAGGTGCTGGAAACATCAACAAGTCCAGACTGGTAGAAAAAGATTTCCGCACACTTACATCTATACAAGTATGCAGTCTCAGTCTTTACCAGCCTGTCCATTGTTGCCAAACACTGCATAGGAGTTAGCATGCAGAAATCTTTTCCTACAAAAGGCTCTGTAAGTAACTTTTTACATGTATAAATCTTTTTTTATTGCTCATGGGTTACAGGTTGTAACTTAAAACTGAGACCTTACAGACTTTCTGGGCTGCCTGCCGACTGATTTCTGTGTGATGGACTCGGGACGAGTGACGTTAAGTTACATACAGAACCTTTAACTTTGAAACATTAATAATAATAAAATCCAGATTGTTTTAAAGCTAATTACATTTGAAATTACAGAGTGAAATTGCTCATTGCCTTCAAATTGTCCTTAAAATGTCATTTTCGAGTTACTATAATAATAATTGAGTTTATTTTAATTCATCTGATATGACTGTAACCAATAACCAACGCCTGGCTAAGGTGAACTGTCAGCTCTCACCTCTGGGCCTCTTCACTTTGGGGGAGCAGGGTTTGGACACCTTGACAGTGGTTTGACACTCGGCGTTAAACAGCGCTCGCTTCAGAGTTCCTGACCGGCTCTTGGTGTTGGTGTCAGCGTCGCAGGCTCCCCACGGGCCGAACTTATACTTACAGTCACCTGAAGGAAAAAGAAAAGATATACTCGAAATGCAATTTTTCCACACACATGCACAAACAGGACCTATACATGCAGTAAATGGAGGGATGTCAGGATGAGGGGGCTGCCTGTGGACAGGCGCCCTGAGCAGTTGGGGATTTGGTGCATTGATCAAGGTTTGGAAGGGGAAGTGAACCAGCAATCCTCCAGTTCCCAACCCAAATGCCTTTGGACTGTGCTACTGCCCCCGACAGTTAGAAGACATGCACAGTGTACACAGTACAAATGAGTTTTGTTTTCTCTCTCCATGACTCCTTTGAGCTTCCGTAGATTCAAAATGACTGAACAGCTCTGAGACAATTAACAGTATGTTCACATGCTGCTCTCTGGACCCTCGAAACCCAGCGGACATAAGCAGCGTGCATTCATCAGGGGTGGAGGACGTATTCAGATCATTCATTCATTCATTTTCCGTAAGGCTGGAGCCTATCCCAGGTGACACTGGGTGAGAGGCGGGGTACACCCTGGACAGGTCTCCAGACTATCACAGGGCTGACACACAAAGACAGACAACCATTCACACTCACATTCACACCTACGGACAATTTAGAGTCACCAATTAACCTGCATGTCTTTGGACTGTGGGAGGAAGCTGGAGCATCTGAAGGAAACTGACGGGCTCCCCCACCCTGGGTTCAAACTAGGAGCCCTCTTGCAGTGAGGTGACAATGCTACCCACTGCTCCCCCGTGATGCCCGTTTTCAGATCCTTTACTGCAATATTACTAATACACACAGTAAAGATATTCTATGGCAGTTTAAGTCCTACACTGAAAATGTTCCTTCAGTAAAAGTATATAAGTATGATTGAACTATTAACTAATGATTAATGTCATCATAAACTGACTGTTTGGTTTGTAAAAATACTTAATATACTGAGAACATAACATGCAAATTGTTGAACTTTTCACACAACTGATAGTGAGACAACTCTATCTCCATGAGTGTGTATTAAGTGTGTATAAGGTGTCTGAGTCTTACTGATGGCCTTCTTCCAGTTGCAGGGGATCTTGCAGTGGATCTTGTCGGTGCGATCTTTGCAGGTGGCCTCTCTCAGACCTTCTCCACAGTCCCCATGTTCTGGGACACACTTCCCGAACTGAGTCTCTGCGGTGGAGCACTCTGAAGCAGGCCGGGATTTATCATGTTTACCACCTGCAGGAGAAAAACACAACTCAGGACTCTGCACAGGGAAGCTCAGATATCACAGTGAAGGGACACAAAGGTAAACTGGTCTCTGAGTGGAGGGAGGGGGATTTTAATGTTGAAGTTTCTTCGTATGAAATTTAATCATTAACATGTATTAGCTCCTGTTTGCAGTGTAGAAGAAAACTTAAAAACATGATGATCCTCAGGCAAGTTCTGCAGCCTCTTTTTTTCTGATTTCTAAGTGGATTTATGGATGTTTATTCTGGATGGACATCAGAGATTAAGATATCCTCAGGAAGTGGAAGTCTGACTGACTGTGGAAATATGTGTTTCATGTCTGTGTCTCCAGATTTGACTGAGTTATGAAGAAGAAGAAAAAGAGTGTGACAGAAATTACAGTGATCAAGAGTTTTAACACACCCACAAAAAACAAACAACCAAGAACAAGATAAATCTAATAAAAGTTAAAAAGTCTGTATTCGTAGTAATCACACCAACAGTTGGATGAGATCTTGACATTGTGTGTGTTGGGGTCAAAGAAAGAACACCTCCAGAGATTGAAACATGAGCTCAAGTCTAAGGACCAAACCAACCGGTAAGACCCCCCGTTTATAATGCTCACTGAGGTTCTCATAAGGAAGTCACTCATTTTATCACAACAGGAAAAACCTTAATGTTTCTGTAGCTGAGCGCTACAAGCGCTTCATCTGGAATAAGCAATTAAAACTTGTCATCACAACAACACTACTGCCGTACGTTGATCTACAGATCTGCTGTTATTTAAATGTCTGACCTTTGTGATTTTTGGCTCTTCTGTTGGCCTCGGCGTTAAGCGTCAGCGCCACAAGCAGCAGCAGCGTCACTGAGAACAAACTTCGCATCCTGCAGAGACAATAAAATAAAGAGACCGTCATTAAACATCCACAATTGAAGCACAACCAATTAGAAAGATATAAACACATTGCAGACATGATGCAACATTCAACCAGGGGCATCATGGCGTAGCAAAGCGCTCAGGGTCCAACGTGTCGGGGGATGTTTTTAACTGCATTTTTTTGAATAATTATCATTATTGAATAATATTATTACTGTCTGAGTGATAGTTTGACGGGATATTTTTATTAAATCGAAAGAAAAAAAACGCTGCAAAACACTACAGAGACACAGACAACTTCAAAGAGACGCAAAACTACAAAGAGACACAAAACAACTTGCAAAACAACTACAAAGAGACACAAAACTACTGCAAAGAGACACAAACCTACTACAAAGAGATGTGAAACTACTGCAAAGAGACACAAGACCACTGCTAAGAGATGTAAAACTACTGCAGAGATGCAAAATTACTGCAAACAGACACAAGACCACTGCAAAGAGACACAAAACTACTGCAAAGAGACACAAAACTACTGCAGAGATGCAAAACAACTGCAAAGAGACAAAAAACTACTGCAGAGACACAAAACTACTGCAGAGATGCAAAACAACTGCAAAGAGACAAAAAACTACTGCAGAGACACAAAACTACTGCAAAGAGACACAAAACTACTGCAGAGACACAAAACTACAGCAGAGATGCAAAACTACTGCAAAGAGACACAAGACTAGTGCAAAGAGACACGAAACTACTGCAAAGAGACACAAAGCCACTACAGAGACACAAAGCTACTGCAGAGAGACACAAAATCACTGCAAAGAGACACAAAACTACTGCAGAGATGCAAAACTACTGCAGAGATGCAAAACTACTGCAAAGAGACACAAAACTACTCCAGAGATGCAAAACTACTGCAATGAGACACAAAACTACTGCAGAGACGCAAAACTACTGCAAAGAGACACAAGATCACTGCAAAGAGACAAAACACTAGTGCAAAGAGACCCAAAACTACTGCAGAGATGCAAAACTACTGCAACGAGACACAAAACTACTGCAAAGAGACACAAAACTACTGCAGAGACGCAAAACTACTGCAAAGAGATACAAAACTACTGCAAAGAGACACAAGACTAGTGCAAAGAGACACAAAACTACTGCAAAGAGACACAAAACTACTGCAGAGACGCAAAACTACTACAAAGAGACACAAAACTACTGCAGAGACACAAGACTAGTGCAAAGAGACACAAAACTACTGCAAAGAGACATAAGACTAGTGCAAAGAGACACAAAACTACTGCAAAGAGACATAAAACTACTGCAGAGATGCAAAACTACTGCAAAGAGATACAAAATCACTGCAAAGAGACACAAAACTACTGCAGAGATGCAAAACTACTGCAAAGAAACAAAAAACTACTGCAAAGAGACACAAGACTAGTGCAAAGAGACACAAAACTAATGCAAAGAGACACAAAACTAATGCAGAGACACAAAACTACTGCAAAGAGACACAAAACTACTGCAGAGATGCAAAACTACTGCAAAGAGACACAAGACTAGTGCAAAGAGACCCAAAAGACACGAAACTACTGCAAAGAGACACAAAGCCACTACAGAGACACAAAACTACTATGAAGACATACAAAACAACTTGCAAAACAACTACAAAGACACATAAAACAACTTCAAATAGACACAAAACAACTACAGAGATGCAAACAAACTACAAAGAGATGCTAAAACAACTGAGAATAGATATAAAACAACTGCACGGGATGCAAAAACAACTACACAGAGACTCTGAAGATAAAAGAGGTGTCTCTTTCAGTCTGGGGGTCCTGCTCCTATGTGGGGGTGGTGTTGGTAGTACATATCTGTGCCCAGGGGCCCGTCTGTTTGTTAATCCGTCCATGACAGATTTTCATGCTACACCGCTGCGTTGAACCCTTCGACCTGAGTGAGAAGGAGTTTCGAATCAGGAGATATTTGTGTGAATTCACAAATAAAGTTTATTTTTTATTTACTGTTTTTAATCTGATCTTGTTTTACAGCTGACACTGCAGCGTGATCCGGCCCGGCCTGGTCTGCTCGGGCCAGATGGTCCAAATTTAGTCCAAATCAAATCTGCTCCCTTTTCAGCTCGGCCCCCCAAATCTCAGAACGCTTAAGCCAAATAATCTGACTATTGTAGTGCGAGCAGCAGCAGGATTATAAAAGTAGGCTAATGTATTCTGATATTGTTCCTGTTCTCACCACACACACACACACACACACACTCTGTTATCATTCTGCACATATTTTCATTTATTTCTCTCATCATGATTAAAGTGTTCCTCCAGTGTTTGATGACAGCGACAGCATCCATCAGCTCAGAGGAGAAACATAGCGCGGGGCTCTCAGCTCTACTTGGAAAAAGAGAGTCAATTACCCATAAAGCACCTCTCTCCCTCTCTGTTGTTATTGTGCTGAGAAATGACAGACTCCTCTTTCAGGCCTCCATTAAAGCAATGGTCCTCTTTCACATGTCAGCTGGCAGAGCAAATCCTGCTCTTCTCGCTCCTCCTGCGGCCTTTTATGAGGAGAGAACCGGCTCTCAGCAGGCCTCCAGTCTGTCCTCCATCAATGAAGAAGAGGAGGAGGAGGAGAAGGAGGGACGGAGCGGGGGGGGGCAAGCAGCGTCTGAAAGAGCCCTTTAGATTTCCCCTCAAAAGAATACTGATTCATTGGCCCAAAACAAAGCCTCTTCTAGCCTGGTTTCATTTCTCTAAAGCCCAACACAGATTCCACGCCACGTCTTAGGAGCTGTGACCCCCCCACCAAATTCCCCCCCCCGCCCTGAATAGAAACTTATTTGCATAAGAAAACAATGAAATCTTAGCATGAAGAAAAGGAGTGGGATGCTCCCTTTGGTTCAAAACTAGGAACAACATTTAGAGGAACTTCCTCCTGAATCTCAGGGTTCACTCTCACATCCGGAGGCGAACATGAAACACAGTTAAACATGTAAGGAGCTTGTTTTCAGAGCTCCGTGTTCAGAGGACTGAGGCTCTAAAAGAAAACCTGACATCTGATCGCTGTGACGAGGAAATGAGGAAACAAGGAAGTGGACATGTTTAACAGCACAAACATGAATCCAAACGTCTCCTCCAATCAAAGCTATCTTAGAAGTGTCATTCAGAGATTTAGATTTTTCTCCCAAACTCTTGTCAGCTGATAGAAAATAAACTTTTAGAGAATAAGGTGCTGCTTCGATTAAAATAAAATAAAAATCTAAAGTTATATATGCATCAAAGAACTTCAGCTGATTATAACAGAACTGAACAACAACAACAACAACAACAACATGAAGAACACGTAAACTGAGCCAGAGGCATAAACATCTGCACACCTGACACCTTCAGTTCCTCTTTAAGAGGATGTGGAAAATCACATCCTCCAAAATGATTTGATTAGAATGCTGAATATTGAATTAATATTTCACACACATGAACTCATTTCTTTCTTCTTAGTATTAAGAGACAAACTTACAACTGAAAACAGTCAGTGACAAAAATAAATTCAGAAAAATCACGCAAAACCAGAAAAAACAACATGAAATCAAACCACAAACAAAGTCTAGCACATAAGATAAAAATAAAAAATAAAAATCTCAAAAAGTGGAGTATTTTTAAAAAATACAAATTAACAGTGAATTTCTTATTAACTCTCAGCTACAGTAAATGTTTTCCCATCTTTCGAGATGGTTTTTACTTGTTTCATTATTTATGATTTATCTTATCTAACGATTATTTTCATTACTGATTAATCGACAGATACATTTGTTGATTAATCACTGTTTTCAAAATGTCAGACAGTAGAAGAAACAGAAAAGCCAGAGCTGTGATATAAAAATAATTTTGCTTGTTTTTTTTTGTCCGACCAACAGTTTAAAGAAAATGAGTTAAATAATCTACAGAATAATTTAATATAAATCATCATATTTAAAAACAATCAGAGTTCTGCTCGACAAAGTGATTAAGTAATAAAATGATTTATGTTAAAAGTTGCAGATTGATTTTCTGCCGATCGACTGGACGATGAATCTTTATAGACTGTATATAAATGTTTATAATGAAACACAGGTTTGATGAAACGTGTGATAAAGGTGATAAAAAGATAAAAACTTACTTGCTGAGCTCAGAGGAGCAGCCAGTCGAGCTGTGGAGTCGTCGCCTTCTGTCGCTGCTTCAGCTGCTGCTGCTGATACACCCCCTCCCCTCACACACACACACACACTAACACAAAACACACACTGCATGCACACACTGCATATGGACAATGGTGAAACCAACCTCATGGTGACATCACAAGCTTTAATCCAGACCCAGAGGAACAAAACAAGCTCATTAACATAGAGTGAAGTGTGTGTGTGTGTGTGTGTGTGTGTGTGTGTGTAGTGTGCTTCACATGTCACATATACGTAGAAAGGTGTCATATATAGAACAATGTCATATAGAAAGAGTGTGAGCTATGCCACCATACAGGTTGGTGTGTGTGAGCTAATATTTACTCACACTGCTGTAAGAGCTGCCTGTAGTGGAGAGGTCAGATGAATCACAGGTGTGTGTGTGTGTGTACAGGTGTGTGATGGGGAACGCCTGGTTTAACTGGGACTGAGTCACACAGTGGACTGGATCAGAGTTCACTCAGGAAGTCACAGTGTTCATCAGCACATTGACTTTAACTGAAGTAAAAGCATCAGTAACTCAGTATAAAATACTCTGTTACAGTTAAAGTACTCCATTTGAAGTATTACTCACACAATGTACTTAAAGTATCAAAAGTAGAAGTACTTATTGTGTAAAATGGCTCTGTACAAATATTTATTTCACTCAGAGTAAAATGATTTTCTCTCGGTACAGCCCGCTGAGTTCTCTGCGTGTTCGTCTCTGAGTTCTCTCTATGTTCAGTGCATTCGGTGTGTTCTCTCTTTGTGTCCTCCTCTCTGAGTTGTCTATGTTCTGTATACTCACTATGTTCTCTCCATGTGTCCTATGTTCTCTTAGTGTTCTGTGAGCTCTCTGTGTTCTCCTCTTGGAGGGGAACTGTCAGCAGAACAGCAGCAGAGGAAACAGTCTCCAGCATTCTGATGGCTCAGTCATGCGTGGAGGCCTTTGTGTTAAAGTCTGCAGCTGAGAACAGAGAGGAGGAGGAGGAGGAGGAGGAAGGAGAACCCTCCTGTTCTCCTTCATATCATCCTTCAAGTTGCAGAACTCCTGAAGTCTCTGAGAGTAAATGCATTGAGTTTATGGAACCTTAGGAACCAAAGTACCTGAGGAACTAGGGATCCAAGGAACCAGAGGGACTGAGAAACCAAAAAACCCAAGGAACCTGAGAAGCCAAGGGATCAGAGGGAGCAAGGAATCTGGAGAACTAAGGAACCAGAGAAATCAAGGAACCCAAGGAACCAAGAAATCTGAGGAACCAGGGAATTTCAAAAACAAAAGAACCAGAGGAACCAAGGAACCTGACAAAGTAATGGACTAGAAAAACTAAGGAACCTGTGGGACAAAGGAACCTGACAAACTAATGGAGAAACTAAGGAACCTGAGGAACCAAGGGACCTGAAGAACTAGAGAACCAAGAACCCAAGGAACCAAAAATAAAAAAATAAAAAAACTAAGGAGAAACTAAGAAAGCAAAGAACCTGAGGGGTCAACGGACCAGAGGAACCAAGGAACCTGTGGGACCAAAGAACCTGACAAACTAATGGACAAACTAAGGAACCTGAGGAACCAAGGAACATGAAGAACTAGGGAACCAAGAACCCAAGGAACCAAAAAAAAACTGAGGAGGAACTAAGAAAGCAAAGAACCTGAGGGGTCAAAGGACCAGACGAACCAAGGAACCTGTGGGACCAAAGAACCTGACAAACTAATGGACAAACTAAGGAACCTGAGGAACCAAGGAACATGAAGAACTAGGGAACCAAGAACCCAAGGAACCAAAAATAAAAAAATAAAAAAACTAAGGAGAAACTAAGAAAGCAAAGAACCTGAGGGGTCAACGGACCAGAGGAACCAAGGAACCTGTGGGACCAAAGAACCTGACAAACTAATGGACAAACTAAGGAACCTGAGGAACCAAGGAACATGAAGAACTAGGGAACCAAGAACCCAAGGAACCAAAAAAAAACTGAGGAGGAACTAAGAAAGCAAAGAACCTGAGGGGTCAAAGGACCAGACGAACCAAGGAACCTGTGGGACCAAAGAACCTGACAAACTAATGGACAAACTAAGGAACCTGAGGAACCAAGGAACATGAAGAACTAGGGAACCAAGAACCCAAGGAACCAAAAATAAAAAAATAAAAAAACTAAGGAGAAACTAAGAAAGCAAAGAACCTGAGGGGTCAACGGACCAGAGGAACCAAGGAACCTGTGGGACCAAAGAACCTGACAAACTAATGGACAAACTAAGGAACCTGAGGAACCAAGGAACATGAAGAACAATGAACCAAGAACCCAACAAACTAAAAAAAACCAAGGAGGAACTAAGAAAGCAAGAATCCAGCAGGGTCAAAGGACCAGAGGAATCAAGGAACTATATGATTTAAGGAACCAAAGAAACCAGGGAACCTGAGGAAGTAAGAAACCAAGGAACCTAAGGCACTAAGGAACCAAGGAACCTGAGGGGCCAGGGGACCAGAGGGACCAAGGAACCTGAGGAACCTGAGGAACCAAGGAACCAAAGGAACTAAGAAACCAAAGGAACCAAGTAACCTGCGGGTCCAAGGGACCAGAGGGACCAAGGAATCAGAGGAACTAAGGAACCAAGAAACCTAAGGAACTAGGTATCCAAGGAACCAAAGGAACTAAAGGAACCAAGAAACAGGAGGAACCAAAGAATCTCACAAACTAAGGGACCGGAAAAACTAAGGAAACTGAGGAACCAAGGAACCTAAGGAGCTAGGAACCAGAAGAATTAATCTGAGCAGGAACTAACAACTAAAAAACCTGACCTCTAAAGTCCCTGAACAAACAATCAACAAAAGAAACATTCCAGAAACAGATTCTTTTTTCTTTCAGTGTAAAAACAAAACAATGTCTGATGATGATGATGTCAGTGTGAAAAATTAATGTGATAAAGATCTTTGTCTAAAAAGTTCAAAAATTGTGAAAATTACTTGAACAATTAAATGTAAAATGCCATAGGCTTGTGCTAATAACGTCAGCATGTTGTATTTGTTTGGAAAACGTGTTTAGTATAAGACAGTTGTTTTGTCAGTGAACCTTGTGAGTTGTAAAGGAGCCAAATTTTGTAACATTACCTTTGTTAAATGTTGCTGTTGTCCCTGGCTTCATATGAGTAGAGGAAATGTCCACTAGCTGCTAGGCTAATTTATACAATGTCCAGATAAAGACAAGTGTTTGTCTGTGAATGCTGCGAGTTATAGTGAAGCTGATTTGTGTACTTGTGTTTGAAATTGTCTCTATTAAGCCATGTTTAATGTGTGTTTAATGTGTGTTTTGAATCAACTAAACTTTACAGCACTTCACAGAAACCTTGTCGCCGACTAGTGTTTTGGAGGTGTAACTGCAGAGTGACACAGACACACCACCGCACAAGTATAAATACTCACAACAGCATAGGCAACACAAGTATTAATCCAGCTTAAGAAGCTATAAACATGGTATATTTGCTTTAAAATGACCTAAATGATAAATAAATACATGATTATTTGAATTGATGAATCATTTCAGCTCGAAATCAAACAGTTCCTTCTTGTGAATAACTTCATTTTCCTCACAGAGAGCTGTTACTGACATGCTTTTATTGCAGGTCACTCAGAAATGATAAAACCAAACCAAACAGTTATTACTCCAGTATCATACAGTATAATGTCATTCTGACTGTTACGTAATTACTATTAATACAGACGTGACTGCTTTGGCAGAATCTGGCTGAACACTGACGAGTCTATCTCAGCTATTTACACACACATCACAATGAAAGCATCCTGCTGGCAGCCATTTTGCTTTACCATTATGTAACAGACAAACAATATTACAAAAAAAAACAAAGTCTCATATGCTGAAGTATCTAAAATTCAGACTGAAGCAGTCGACGACTTGCTTCTCTGAGTTTGATCACAAGCAAAACGTTTTTTTTGTTTTTTTTTTAATCTCTACAAATAAATCATAAATAGCTAAACTCATGTGTGTCTAAGTTAAATATCCAAAGTGTGAACAAACACTTATTTCTGTTGAGTAAACAAATACATCCAAAAGGTCACTAGAAGCCGGAGAGAAGACACGTTTTTGCAGCCGTTCTATCAGATATGGCGAAAGCGTCTAGTTCCATCATGTTCAGCTGCAGACACATGAATACAGTCACTGTTCGCTCAAAGCGGCTGTTGTTTCGCTCCAACAGCACTTTCTGTACACGTTTAACACAGAGGTCAGAGCGCTAATGTTTACGCCATAAAGACACATTCAAAACGCAGTTTGTAGGAGATCTGAGAGTCTTTGTGGCCTGAAGTTTGAATCCACTTTAGTGTCCAGAGGCTTTGATGTTGTTTAGTTTGGACTCCGGCAGAGGACAGAGGCGTTTTCAGGCGTCTACAAACCCGACGTTATCCACAACAAAACATCATCTCTGCTCAGTTAAAGCAGTTTGGAGACATTTATATTAACCCATGTGTCTGTGTTTACCCGCCGCCTGCCTCTGACAGCAGAGAAGAAGAAGCACTAGCTGATATGTTGCTGTCTACGCGCCCCGTCAGTGGAGTTAAAAACACACTTGTCTCCTAGAGGAGCAGATACATGAAAGACCTATAGACAGACTGATGTTGTGGACAGACATGTTGGACGTCAGACCGCCGTCTCCTGGTCCTCCCTCTGGATCATCTGGTAATGTTGGCGGTTCTCCAGATATTCAGACAGTTCCTGGTCGTTGGCCTTCTCAGCACGATGTTTGGGAGTCTCGCCCTGGAACACAGAAACATTTAGACACAGAGGATTTTAGACATCAGGCGTCTGCTGACAAAGTCTGATCTGATATTTACCTGATGAAATATGTATCTGACACATTAGAATAACACCTTTAGAGAATAAATCTGACACAAATTACTTGATCTAGATACAAAGGATCCTGATTCAAAACTTAATTATTGATCTGGTTTGAATAAAAAAAAGGAATTGGAGAATGTGGCGACTAAAAAATCAAGTGGTTATCTAGAGATGATTGATTGTTCTGTTGTCAGTGAAGTTTGTCATTTTAACTGGTGAAGGTGA